CCTCTAAGGCGAGCTTTATGGCCAGCAACTCTCTGTTCCCCACGTCATAGTTTTGTTCGGAGGGTGATAACCGACGAGAGAAAAAGGCGCAGGGGTGAGTCTTATTGTCCTTAACTGACCTTTGGGATAGCACAGCTCCAACACCCAGATCAGAGGCGTCCACTTCTAGAATGAATTGTTTGGTGGGATCAGGGTGACTCAGAATWGGAGCTGAAGTAAACAAGGCCTTTAACTCACCAAACGCTCTGTCTGCCTCAGGGGTCCAGGAGAATGTCCTTAGAGTGGAGGTGAGTTGAGTTAGAGGTGCGGCGACTTGACTGTAGTTCCGGATGAACCTCCGGTAGAAGTTGGCGAACCCCAGGAACCGCTGTAGCTGCTTACGGTCGGTAGGTGTGGGCCAATCTGTGACTGCAGAGACTTTCTCAGGGTCGGTTCGGAACTGACCTCTTTCAAATATGAAACCCAAAAAAGGGACGGATGAAACGTGGAACTCACATTTTTCTGCTTTCACGAATAATTGGTTTTCATATAGTCTTTGAAGAACTAACCTGACATGTTTCTCGTGTTGAGTCTGGTCACGGGAGTAAATGAGAATGTCGTCCAAATAAACAAAAACAAAATCATATAGAAAGTCTCTGAGWACGTCATTGATAAGAGCTTGGAAGACGTCGGGTGCGTTGGTTAGGCCAAATGGCATAACCAGATATTCAAAATGACCTAATGGCGTTTTAAACGCCGTCATCCACTCATCTCCCTCCCTAATGCGGACCAAATGGTAAGCATTCCTGAGATCCAGTTTTGAAAATATTTTTGCTGAATGTAACTGGTCATGAACAGAATCGGTAAGTGGAAGTGGATATTTATTTTTAATGGTGATTAAATTTAAACCGCTGTAATCGATGCACGGACGGAGTGACTTGTCTTTTTTCTCCACAAAGAAAAACCCTGCTCCTAAGGGGGAGGTTGAAGGACGAATGATACCTGAAGCTAATGATTCATTAATGTAAGTCTTCATAGACTCTTTTTCAGGACCAGACAAGTTATACAAGCGGCTGGATGGAAGTGGGGCACCAGGTAATAGTTCTATAGCGCAATCATATGGACGGTGAGGAGGTAGGGATAGAGCTTTTTGTTTACTGAAAACGGCAGACAAATCGTGGTATTCTTTAGGAATCTTAGAAAGATCTATTTCCTCGGATGTCTCGTTTCCTTTAACAGAAACAGAAAATGCAGTCTTTAAGCAATTTAATGAGCATTGTTTACTCCATGAGTTAATTCGTCTTTCCTTCCAGTTAATGTCAGGGTTATGTGTTTCTAACCATGGGAAACCAAAAATGAGTTGAGGTAAAGATGACTCAAAAACTAGAAACTCACCGAGCTCGTGATGGTTGCCTGAGACGATRACATGCAGCTTGTTGATTTTATGGGTGATTTGAGTAAGTAATCTTCCAGTTACTCCTGCGATGGCCCTGGGGTTCTGGAGAGGAGAGGAGGTGAGTTGAAGTTGTTCAACCAAGTCACTGGAAATTAAGTTCTGTTCGGCACCAGAGTCCACCAGCGCCGATATCGGAAGAGTAATTCCTTTGTGAACAATAGTGGCCGGCAGCGACAGCAAAGAGGCAGGAGAAAAATGTGTAGAACCCGGCAGTAACTCCTGCTCTATTGTCGGGCCTGCCCGTTTCCCTTCACCGGACAATTTGCAACAAAGTGCCCTTTGTTGCCGCAGTAAAGGCATGCTTTGGATGTAATCCGTCTTTGTCGCTCCTCTGGTGTCAAAC